ATCTTTGCTTCCTGTAACTCTGGTCACAGTTTCCACCTAGTAAGTGGCCAATCTATAATCTATGTGAACTTGTTTTTTTTTGGAGGTGGGGGTCTGTCTATTGTCGGGGCCTCCTCCATAAACCAGCTCCAGCAGCATCATCCATGTCCTCATAGGGAAGACATGACTTCAGACCACCCTGCTACCTCCGCTGACACAAAGCAAATTCCAGAAACAGGCCTGTGGCTTAACTGTCAGTTAAAGATTAGCTCAACAGAAAGCCCCCAAGTCCGTCAGGAGATAGGCTTGGGCAATAGGGAAAGATAGCAACAAGGAGGTTCTACCCCTTACCTCTTGCCCTGCGGATTAGGTTACCAGGCAACACAGGAGGCTCTGCCTCTCCCACTGACTGTTTGCCCCAACAGCTTCCTTGCAGCTGCAGTTATCACCCCTGTTCCCTCCCCTCCTCACTTCCTCCTACAAGCCCTTTAAAAACCCCTTGGAAAGAATAAAGTTTTGTCGGCTTGATCAGAATCTTGTCTTGCCGTCCTTCATCGTATCTCTCGTCCTTCATCTCTCTCCTAGGTGTCCCCCAGACCTGTGTTGAATGTCCCACGGGTCAGGGCAGTCTATGTAGCCCTAGCTGTTCTAGAACTCACTCTGTAGACCAGGTTGGCCTGGAACTCGGAGATCCACCTGCCTCTCCCACCCAAATTCTGGTATTAAAGATGTGAAGCCAAAGCTGGTGATGTGACTCAGCCGGCAGCATTTGCCTGGCGCGCACCCAGCCCTGAGTCCAACGTCCAGCCCTGCAGAAGCCGTGCACCTGTGGGAGGTGCTGGCAGAGAATCAGAAACGTAAGTTCATCCTTGGGTTCACAGAGCACACAGCAAGGCCAGCCTGGGATACTTAAGAGCCTGTATGGGGACAGGGACCCACAGCACCAGATAGGCTGGTCAGGACATGTGTAAAGGTGGAGAAGAGACCTAGGAAGTCACCTTGTCCTAGAGAGCGTCACCCATGCCTGACCCAAGAAAAGTAGGTGATTAGAGGAAAGGACTCTGAATCATCTTAGAGGAAACGGCTTCCCATTTGGTCTAGAATCTTTCAAGTGTTTGAAGCAGCATTTCTAGGGCGTACAACCACTAGAGCTGGGGAAGCAATGGAGACATAATGAGCAAGGGAGAAATCATCAATCCAGAAACATACGGAACTGGGGAATCTTCACCCTCAGGGAAGGCTGAGGGGCTGGGCGTGGCTCCGTGGTATGAGGCCGTGGGTTCTGCCCCCAGCACTGCCTATAAGCACATGAACAAAAGCAAAAACAACTAAACAGGCTAAGGCTAGCCAATTTATGAAACACAATAGAATGAACGTAACCGAAAGAAGACAAGTCCCCAGGAGGTTTCAAAGCAGGAGACAGTAGGGAGGAGTCAGGTTCTGCTTATGTGACCCTGTGAAATGGCCCAGCTCCTCCTCTGTAAAATGGAACCTGTCACAGATGTTGAAAGATGTGACATTGGTTATGCTTTACAAACTGTTCAGCATAGCTGCAGCCCACAGTCAGGGGTAGCTAACTGACAAGGGGACTAAAAGAAGAAAACGAAGGCCTAGAGTGTATAGGAGAAATGGAGGGGCTGGGGTTGACATTGAGGTAACTTGTGGGCCTGCTGTCTTTCATCAGGATCCTGCTCTCAGAATAAGGCTGGGACTTGATTCGGTACTCTGTCTTAGCCAGCCTGAAACTCTAAATACTTTTATGTGCATGTTGTGTGTACATGTGTTCACGAGTGTACAAACTCATCTGCTTGTTTATGTGGAGACCTAAGGTCTTTGGTGTCAGGTTTCATTTCCTCCGGAGCCGTTGACCTTGTTTTCTGAGACAGGTACTTTCACTGAACCATTCAGCTAGGTTGGCTGGCCAGCAAGCCCTCGGGTTCTCCTGTCACCATCGCCCGCCCACAGCCCTGAGAACACAAGCCATTAGTGCCCGCAGTCACACCCATTCTTTTCTGTGGATGCTTGGAATCAAACTCAGGTCTTCAAGCTTGCACAACAAGCACTTTACCGACTGAGCCACCTCCCCAGCCTCTGGTTTTACCTCTGCACTTGTGTTCTGTAAGTAAATCCAGCATACAAAGCAGGATACTGACGAGCGCAAGGCACGCCAGATGGCACTCAGCAGGCTCAGACCAGCAAGTGTGGTGGGTGGTGGGCAGCTCAGGAGCCTAGGAGTTGGCCTACCCACCTGGCATGCACTCATGGCCGAGCAGTCTGAGTTGCAAGGGAACAGGGAGCAAGGATCTGTGCCCAGATGGACAGTAGCAAAAAAACAGTGTTGGCAGAAGCCCACCAAGGCCATGGCAAGGATTTCACATCTACATGAGCCTGATCATGTGGGGTGTGCACAAATGCAGCTCTGGTGTCTAGGAAAGGGCAGCGTGGCCAGCACCCTGCTAGGGACTTTTGACAACAAACTGTAAAATAAAAGAAGTACCTTAAAGCCCACAGTTCAATTCAAAGAACCAATCAGGAAAGACTTTTTTTTTACATGTATGGGTATTTTGCCTGCATGTTTACCTGTGAAACACCTGCATGCTTGGTACCCAGAGAGGCCAGAAAGGGGTATTGGATCTCCTGAGACTAGAGTTATAGGCAATTGTGAACTGCCATGTGGGTCCTGGGAATTGAACTTGGGTCCTCTGGAAGAGCAGCCAGTGCTCTTAACTGTTGTAACATCTCTTCAGCCCCAAGGAAGACTTCTTAAAAGAATCTACAACATCACAAAGCAAACATCAGACAAAGAAATCAAACTAAAAGTTCACCTCTTTATAGAAAATAACTTCATGTGTTCTCAAGATGCTCCATTGTTAACAAAAACAAATTTTTAATTAAATTTTATTATTATTATTATTATTGTTGTTGTTGTTGTTTTTCCAAGGCAGGGTTTCTCTGTGGCTTTGGAGACTGTCCTGGAACAAGCTCTTGCAGACCAGGCTGGTCTTGAACTCACAGAGATCCACCTTCGGCTATTTCCCGAGTGCTGGGATTAAAGATGTGCGCCACCACTGCCTGGCCAACAAAGGCAATTTTACAATAGCCTTTTCTTGTAATTGAGGAAATCAAATTGCATAAACACACTTGGGGCTGGAGAGATCGCTCAGCAGTTAAGAGCATTTGCTACACTTGCAGAGGACTCGGTTTCCATCCCCAGTACCACATAGTGGCTCACAGTTCCAGGGGATCCAGTGCCCTCTTCTAACCTCTGCAGGAACTTCACACAGGTGATGCACTTACATACTACATACAGACAAAACACTCATACACATAAAATGAATAAATACTTGAATGAACAAATTATTAAAATATTTACAATGGGTCAGCCGGGGGTTGGTGGCACACGCCTTTAATCCCAGCACTCGGGAGGCAGAGGCAGGTGGATCTCTGTGAGTTCGAGACCAGCCTGGTCTACAAAGTGAGTTCCAGGACAGCCACCAAAGCCACAGAGAAACCCTGTCTTGAAAAATCCATACCCAAAACAAAACAAAAACCAAGCCCAGGGGGCTGGAGAGATGGCTCAGAGGTTAAGAGCACTGACTGCTCTTCCAGAGGTCCTGAGTTCAAGTCCCAGCAACCACACGGTGGCTCACAATCATCTACAATTCAGTCTGGTGCCCTCTTCTGGTATATAGGCAGAGCACTGTATATGTAATAAATAAACAAATAAATAAATAAATCTTTAAAAAAAGCCCAAAACAAGAAACAAAACTCAAACAAAAATGAATCTATTTGTAGCTAGCTCAGTGGGTAAAGGCACTTGCTGTCAAGTCTGACGACCTAAGCTTCATCTTTAGAAGCAACATGGCAAGCCGGGCGTTGGTGGCACACCCCTTTAATCCCAGCACTGGGAGGCAGAGGCAGGCGGATCTCTGTGAGTTTGAGACCAGCCTGGTCTACAAGAGCTAGTTCTAGGACAGCCCCCAAAGCCACAGAGAAACCCTGTCTCGAAAAATCAAAAAAAAAAAAAAAGTCATATGGTGGAGGAAGGAACCAGCTCCCAAAAGTTGTCCTCTGACCTCCACATATGCTCTGTGGCATCCTCTCCCCATTAAGTATGTAAATGTTTAGAAAGGCCTATGTGGGCTGGGAATATAGCTTAGTCTGTACAGTGCTCTAGGGTAGGCAGAGACCTAGATTCTCTCTCCAGCACCGCATAAGTCAGGAGTGCTCGTGTATGCTTATCAGAAACACTGATGGCTGTTCAGTTATCAAAGTGCTCGTTATCTAAATATGAGGACCTGAGTTTGGATTCCCAGCATCCAAGTAAAAAATCAGGCTTGGCAGTGTGTCTATAATCCTGGCACAGGAAGGTGTAGACAGGAGGATCCTTGGAACACTCCCACTATTGATCAGTCTGATGAGTTGGTGCACTCCAGATTCGGTAAAGACCTGTCTCAAAACACTAAGGTGAGACAGCTCAGTGGGTAAAGGTGCTTGCGACACACACTTGACTATGCGACTTCAATCCCCTGAGCCCAAGCAAAGGAGAACACACTTGACAAACTGTCCTCTGATTAGGGCTGGAGAAATGGCTCATCAGTTAAGAGCACTGGCTGTTCATCCAGAGGACCCAGGTTCAATTCCCAGCACCCACATGACAGCTTATACCTGTCTGTAACCCTCAGATCTGACACTCTCACACATACATACATACAGGCAAAACACCAATGCAAATGAAATAAAAATTATTTAAAAATTTGATCTCTGAGCACCACATGCACATCATAGCATGCGTCACACACACACACACACACACACACACACACACAATTGAAGGTCATTCACAGCCATACAGCAAATTTGAGGTCATCTTAGGATACATGCAATTTTGTCTTGGAAAAAACCAAGTCAACCAAACAATAATAAACAGATAACACTTGGCCCAGGTCAGGGGAGATAGAGGATAAACAAGCCGAAGCCACACTCTGGACCGACAAAGAAGCAGTAACACAGCCCATGGGTGAGTTGGAAATCTTCACTTTATTACTGTGTCACCGGAAGTCACCACCTTCACTTGGTTCACCAAAGACGGATGGATGTCATAGAGGAGGACACCACAGGGCCACTGGATCCACTCTGGAGAGGCTCTAACCAGGTGGGGGAGGGTCTAGAGCAAGGTCCACGTTGGGGGGGCCGCCCTTCACCGCACACACACGCACGCACAGGCACACTCACAGATATATGGTGGAGCCTTCTATTATACATCTTATATATAGAAAATATATATATTTATACTATACACAGGCAGTAACGCTGCGGGAGGGGCGGGGGCACCCAGACAAGAGCTGTGGGCGCAAGGGGGGGTGTCAGGGCAGGGGCAGCACTAGGAGATGGCTAACCCAGTCCATCCTCCATAAACTCTGGGGCCTCGTACTTACATTTTTAGAGATCAAAGGGGTTGTGGATCAAGGTTAGGGGTACCCCAGGGACAAGTGGAATCTCTCGGTTACATGGGAAAAGCCTGGAACCCCAAGAGTCTTTGAAGATCAAGAACCATTAGGGATAGAGGGAGCAGAGACTGGTGCCAGTCCCCTGGGAATCAGCCCCTGGATTGCTACGTCCCAGGTGGATTGGGGGCTACCCAAGCAAAATGGCGGCAACTGTGCAGGTTACATCATCTCAGAAAACAGGGCTCCCAATCTCTCACTGTGCTTGACCTTGGGTGAGACAGGAGTCTCCTGAAGGACCCCTGCAACTATAAAGTCACGTGGAACCCATGTTTCTCAGACCATCTTTTGTGCTTGACAGGGAAAGGGGAGCCCCAATTCCATAGGGCCGAGCTGCGGGGGACTATCTCCAAGCAGAAGCAGTGGAAAGGGGAAGGAAATTGGTGCTGCTGGCCTTGTGTCCTCCAAAGGCTCTGTCCAAGGAGGTGTGGGAGTGTGGCCCCTCCCAAACCATCGAGTGAGAAGCCTGGGTCTTACTCAATCTCCTAGGCTTCTCAACGCTGTGTGACATCACTACCATGGTGCTGGCATGCATCTGCCAAAGGGAAAGGTGCCCGCTGAGGTCCCAGCAGCCCAGCTTCTGGTCCTGTAATCTCCCCTAGCCCAAGGACTAGGGGATAGACACCCAAGGCTGGGCAGAGTTTAACCAGCACTCTGCCCTCTGCCCGACATCACCAGCTGCCTATTACTATCCAGGGAGAAACCAATGTGCAGGCCTTGGGTCTCTAGTCCTCTCCAGAAGGGTTAGCAAATGTCAGGGCTTCTCATAGCCTCTTGGTGGCACAGCCACCTGGTTGGGGCATGGGGCTGTGCATAGAAGCCCTTCCCAGGTATGGAAAAATGGAAGTTATTAACAGCCAGCTGTCACTCAGCTGCCTGGGTCCTCTCCCAACACTGTGGCTCCCTAGGGAACTTGGAGACCCCAGTTTGGATCCAATCTCCAATGGTAAATCTCTGCTCAGGAAGGGCAGTGGTGCTCCTTCTATGCCTCTGAAGCGCTTGTCCCCTCCCTGTCTTCCTTAGGCCTGCACTCATGCCGTGTTTCCTACCGTAATGGGCCTACATGTGGTTCACAGGCTCTTAAGAGGACAGGCACCAGAGACACCCTTGGTGACACCACACCAACATGGGTACGAGAAGAGCTAATCTGCCTGTCAGCGTCCTGAAGGGTATGGGGTGAGATGTCAGGGATACCCATTGTTGAAGCCAACCCACAGCCTACTGCCCTGCTTCACAAGGAACCAGACGTGTAAACTGGGCACACACAGGAAGATGGCACAGACACTCTCCCTCTGGGCTCCCTCTGTCACAGAGAGGGAGCACCTTGTGTGAGAATATGTCCTTGCTGTCCCTTTAGGCCTCAACCACTCTCCTTTCTGTCTCTGAGATAACCAGCTATTAATTCTCTTTCCTGTGGCCCGAGGTTTCCCAGAGCCCACTCTGCGGCATCTCACTTGTGAGTCACCTGGGGCAGTGTGACCTGTAGCTGTGGCGCTCAAACTGGTCCTGTAATTGAGAGCTCCTGTCCTGACTCCCACTCATCCAGCCCTGAGCCCTGGCTGACCCAGGCAAGCAGAGACAGGATAGTGTCCCATGTGGTGACCAGGGCGGAGTCACCTGCTTGATGGTTGGAGCCACTAAACTTAGGCAGCAAGGCCAGCTCTACTATGCACACACTGGGACCTTAGGCCAGTCCCCAACGCCACCTGGCCTCCTGACTATCCAGCCATGAGAAAAAACTCAGTGAGCCCTCCAAGAGGCAGGGACGGCCACCACTCCTCTGGGAGACTGCACAGGGGGTAGCTGGCACACCCCGAAGGAGTTCCCTGTGGGACATGTTGAGCAAGGAACAACACGGGGGACAGGGGCAGGTCTGGGGAGCCTTCGAGAAGACCAAGACCAAGGAGAGGACCTGAATGAGGAAAGCAATTGAGGCAGAAGAGGCCCTTGGTTTGCAGCAGATCACGGTGCCCCACTGGCCCCGGGTCGTGAAGCCCCCCACGACCCCTGAATCAACCCTGAGTGGCAAAGCCTAGATGTAGGAATAGAGAGGCTTGCAGGAGCTCTGCACCTGGCCTACCTTGACATGGCCGCATCATCAGCTGCTTAAGTGACCTTGGACAAAGTACTCTGGCCCCTCGGACCTCAGTTTCCTCAACCATAAACTGGAGGTCGCCTTGGCAATTCCAGGAGGACTGTTACTTATCAAGGATTCTGGGGTCAATGGCCCACATCCTGCGACTGACCACACTCACCTTGTGGCTGAGTCCCTTGCAGCCAACCTTGCCAGTATCTGCCTGCCCTGCCTTTCCTGCACAGGGTGCAGGGCCTCCTCAGCCCGCCCTTCCCCCTCTCTGTCTCTCATTCCCCAGCCCAGCAACGCCTGTTATAAAGTGGGTGCTCGGTTGTAGGTCGAGATCTCACATACCCGCAGCACTGACCTCGCTCAAGGACATGATGAATGACTGTCACCCCTGGGCCCACCCTCTAGATCCCTGTTGGGCACACACTTGCACACACATGTGGACACACCCCCCTGGCTCCCCGACTCCCCACCCAAGCTGCACTGGGCCTCAGTGGAGTCACTTGGAGGCTGAGCAGGTGCGAGGCAGGGTCACCCGGGAGGGAGCAGGGTGTCTGGAAGAGGAGCTAGGATAAAAGGGCAGGGGCAGGGTAGGCGGTCACTGTCATCGCCATCATGGGGGCTCAGTAGCCCTGTGACTGGTAACCCTGGGGCTCAGCATCGAAGGCGTTGGCTGGATGCTGGTAGGTACCACCCATGCCAGCAGGGTCCGGCCCAGTGCTGGGCTCCACATAGGGTGCATAAGGCATGCTGGAGTCCTGGCTGGGATCCATGTAGTCCTGGGAGAAGAGGGCCGAGTCGGCGCCAATCTGGTACCGTTGGAAGGCCAGTATGGCCTGGCCTGCCTGGGATGGGGGCAGGCAGGGACGAGGACAGGTGGGAGGGATGGTTAAAGGAGAGACAGACAAGAGTATTGGGTTAGTAGAGGTTAGTTGACAGGATACAGGCAGTTACAGATGTTCAAAGCACCAAGCCTGATGAAGGGGACTGTTCACACAGCCACCCACCCGCCATCCAGCCACACAGAACCTCAGAAGCCACCTGCCCCAGTGATCCCAAGCCAAGATGATTCAACCATGGAGGGCTAAGATATCCCTACCAAACTGTGTTCTCAGGGCTGTTATGTGAAATGGAGAAAAGGCTGCCTAAAACAGAACTCTTCGAATCTCCTAAGAGCCATCTTTTTGTATCTCTTGCAGCTAGCTATAGTCATGTGGTTAGCTTCCAGCCAATGAGGAGGCACAGTCATGTTCTTTGTCCCTCTCTCAGATCTAATGCCTGGAAAGCAGATGTGACAGCTGGAGCTCTGTGTGCTCAAACGCTCTAGGATGGATGATGGATAAGAGATAAGGATATGCGGGGTGTTGGTGGCGCACGCCTTTAATCCCAGCACTCAGGAGGCAGAGGCAGGTGGATCGCTCTGTGAGTTCAAGGCCAGACTGGTCTACAGAGAGTTCCAGGACAGCCAGGCTATTACACAGAGAAACCCTATCTCAAAACACAAAAAAACGAGAGAAGGAAGGAGGGAGGGTGGGAGGGAGGGAGGGAATGTGATGTGTCTAATTACTGAAGAGACATCTAGAGCCACTATGGAAACCCTGCACAACCTCTCCAGACTTGGAATTTGTTTAAATCTATTTTTTGGGGGGGGATTTGAGACAGGGTTTCTCTGTAGCTTTGGAAGCTATCCTGGAACTCTCTTAGTAGACTAGGGTGGCCTCGAACTCACAGAAATTCACCTGCCTCTGTCTGGGATTAAAGGAATGCTGGCATGCACCACCACCACCCTGCCTAAATCATTATTATTTGGAACTGAAATAACTTGCCACTAAAGTTAATTCTAGCTGAAGCACACAGCTAGAGGTTTGGGAAATGAAACGAAGCAGTAACACACATTTTGGAGCCACAGGACTTACAAGAACCTTGGCTGGCCGGGCGTTGGTGGCGCACGCCTTTATTCCCAGCACTCGGGAGGCAGAGCCAGGCAGATCTCTGTGAGTTCGAGGCCAGCCTGGTCTACAAAGTGAGTTCCAGGACAGCCTCCAAAGCTACAGAGAAACCCTGTCTCAAAAAACCAAAACAAACAAACAAAAAAAAGAACCTTGGCTGTTTGATACAGGCTGGGTTCTGTTTGTCTTGCACAGACTCTGGGAAAGGTCTGGCAGCAGTCACATGCAGAGGGGGGACAGGATGCTGACCACATCAAACCTGCTCTGTAGTTCACAGAGAAAGTCTTCCCTTTTCGGCCCAGAGTGGTGGGTCACGGCTGAGAAGATGAAGGCACAGAGGAGGGGGACCCATGGCAAAGAGTGCCGGAACTCAGTCCCAAACACAGGCCCTGGCCTGTGACAGACTGAGGAGTGGTCAGGGCTCTCTGGGGCCATGGAGGGCAGGAAACGAAAGGATGACTTGAGAGGTATGGAGGCCAGGCTCTCCCTGTACTCTCTGGCTTGCAGAGAGGCAGGGGATTAGAGCAATGACTTCCATGGACCCTTCCAAGGAAGAGGACTATAGCTAGAGCAGTGACTCTCAACCTGTGGGCGGCAACTCCTTTGAAGTCACATGTCAGTCATTTACATAACAGTAGCAAAATTACAGTTATGAAGTAGCAATGAAATAATCTTATGGTTGGGGTCAGCACACGATGAGAAGCTGTATTAAAGGGTCGCAGCATTAGGAAGATTGAGAACCACTGAGCTAGAGGCACTGGAGACTGTGTCTGTGGCTAGTCCCCTACCCCTGAGTGGGTGCCTACTGTGGCCAGCCAGTGTAAAAGGCCACATACAGGAAAAGAGAAGGACCTGACACAGCAGAGTCGTGAGAGGCAGCCTAAGGGGCTTGGTTCAGCACTCTGGGACCTGCACACCAGGCAGCAGGCTGTCCGCACTTGCATGCCTCCAGTGCCTGCTGGCTCACTGTCTGCATCCAGCTACCGCAAGGCAGAGGCAGTACTCTGGGTCACTGGTGCCCACTGCATCCTCAGACCCCGCAGGGAGCACAGGCACAGGTGGCTGCTGCCCAAGTTCTGAGGGCCCGAAGGAGGCAGTGAGGAGGTCAAAGCTTTTTCTCTTATTATTATTTTTGTTTTTTTGAGACAGGGTTTCTCTGTACTGTTTTGGAGGCTGTCTTGGAACTCACTCTGTAGACCAGGCTGGTCTCGAACTCAAAGAGATCTGCCTGCCTCTGTCTCCTGAGTGCTGGGATTAAAGACATGCACCACCACTGCCTGGCCTTTTTGGGGTTTTTTGTTTTTGTTTAAGACAGGGTTTCTCTGTAGACCAGGCTAGCCTCGAACTCACAGAGATCTGCCTGGGAAGTCAAATTATTTTGGCAAAACAAATATTTACTAGGACCCACTCCCCAAGGAGGGCTTATGGAGATGCACCTGACTCAAGGAATGAATGAGTGAGTGAGTGAGTGAGTGAGTGAGTGAGTGAGTTAATGAGTGAGTGAGTGAGTGAGTTAATGAGTGAGTGAGTGAATGAGTGAGTGAGTGAGTTAATGAGTGAGTGAGTGAATGAGTGAGTGAGTGAGTGAATGAGTGAGTGAGTGAGTGAATGAGGAGTGAGTGAGTGAGTGAATGAGTGAGTGAGTGAATGAGTGAGTGAGTGAGTGAGTAAGTGAGTGAGTGAATGAGTAAGTGAGTGAGTGAGTGTGTGAGTGAGTGAGTGAGTGAGTGAATGAGTAAGTGAGTGAGTGAGTGTGTGAGTGAGTGAGTGAGTGAGTGAATGAGTGAATGAGTGAGTGAGTGAGTAAGTGAGTGAGTGAATGAGTAAGTGACTGAGTGAGTGAGTGAGTGTGTAAGTGAGTGAGTGAATGAGTGAGTGAGTGTGTGAGTGAGTGAGTGAGTAAGTGACTGAGTGAGTGAGTGAATGAGTGAGTGAGTGAGTGAGTGAATGAGTGAGTGAGTGAGTGTGTGAGTGAATGAGTGAGTGACTGAGTGAGTGAGTGAGTGAGTGAGTGAGTGAATGAGTGAGTGAGTGAGTGTGTGAGTGAGTGAGTGAATGAGTGAGTGAGTGTGTGAGTGAGTGAGTGAATGAGTGAGTGAGTGAGTGTGTGAGTGAGTGAGTGAATGAGTGAGTGTGTTAATGAGTGAGTGAATGAGTGAGTTAATGAGTGTGTGAGTGAGTGAGTGTGTAAGTGAGTGAGTGAATGAGTGAGTGAGTGTGTGAGTGAGTGAGTGAATGAGTGAGTGAGTGTGTGAGTGAATGAGTGAGTGAGTGAGTGTGTGAGTGAGTGAGTGAATGAGTGAGTGTGTTAATGAGTGAGTGAATGAGTGAGTTAATGAGTGTGTGAGTGAGTGAGTGTGTAAGTGAGTGAGTGAATGAGTGAGTGAGTGTGTAAGTGAGTGAGTGAATGAGTGAGTGTGTGAGTGAGTGAGTGAGTGAGTTAATGAGTGAGTGAGCAATCAAGCAAATGAATGAACAACTGACATTTACTGAGCATCCCTGTGCCAAGGCTTGTGCTGGCCCTTGTTCAGCCGCCTGAAGAAGATCATCCATTACCAGTCAGGCCAGGAAAATTGACCAAGATTCAGAGAGGTACAAGAATTTGCCCTCGGTCACACAGCACAGAAAAACAGAGGTGGGCCCAAGGTCTTCCAACATTCCAGGCCAGCCCTCCGTAGGTAGTCACCGCAGGAGGACAGGAAGGTGGCCTTTCACACCACAATCACTGACAGGTTATCCCTTTGTTCATAGCTCAGCCCCTTCCACTTCAGACCCTCTAAGAGGCCACCCCACTTAGTGGAAGTCTGGCTATCCTTCCCCTCCCCCCCAGCCTACATAGGCTCCTGGGACCAGGGATCTGTCTAATCCACACAGGTACCAAACAGTTGCTCAATAAATGTTTACTGAGGGAAGGAACGTAAAGAGTAAACAAAGGAAGCAAGAGCATGAGCGAGCCAGTGGTGAGCCTCAGCTGACCCTGAGCCAGTGGTGAGCCTCAGCTGACCTCTTCTGTTAGCCTCATCCCATCTTTCCTGTCCTAGAGGACAGACATCTCCAACACTGGGCCATTCCTGCAACTGGGGCCTGCTGGGGCGTGGATTCCCTGCCCTTCATGGGCTACGGCTGTGCTGAGGCGGGGAACAGTGTGTTGTATTCCTCCTGGAAGGTAAGGTCCTTGAGTCTGCGGACGGCCAGGGCTGCAGTCAGGCTCTGCCAGAAAGAGCAGGGGTGAGGCCACCGAGGAGGTAGAAGAGCAGAACTGCTTCAGGAAGGACAGCCGTGGCCAGCAGCACCAGCCTGTCAGGTGTTTCCCTTCAGGGCAGTCACTATGTTCCCGTCAGCTCCACCCATCTCAGTCAGACATGGGGGGGGGCCTACTCTCAGGGCTACCCTCTTCTCAAACGAGAGACCCCCTTCATCTTCCTTCCTAGGCCTGAAGGCATCAGAGAGCGATGGTCACCGTGCCTGGCCTTTGGGGACCACAACACTCTAACTCCCAATACTGGGGCTAAAGAGTGCCCCAGAAGATAGGTGTTAGGGTCCTCAAAAAGGAAAAGAGCCGGGCGGTGGTGGCGCACGCCTTTAATCCCAGCACTCGGGAGGCAGAGGCAGGTGGATCTCTGTGAGTTCGAGGCCGGGCTGGACCAACAGCCTCCAAAACAATACAGAGAAACCCTGTCTCGTAAAATCCAAAAAAAAAAAAAAAAAATAAGAAAGAAAAGAAAAGAAGTCACTTCAGGGACAGTGGGGACAGGGAGGGCTGACTGTGCAGCCCCGGGGGCTCTTGAAGAGTGTGCTGTAGGAGAAGGGAGGGGCCTGGAAGAGGCAGCTGCTGAGAAGCAACCCCTCAACAGACAGCAGGAAAGGAGGAATAGACATGACCTAGACCCACAGGCAAAGAGGGACAGCATTGCTGTGGCATGTGGAGTCCTTGAGACCCTGGGCTAGCCCTGCAAAGATCAGGCTCCAGCACGTTAAACCCCTAGATACGATTTCCTCCGTATATAAGATTTTTATATTTGGAGATAGGGTTTCTCTGTGTAATAAATAGCTCTGGGTGTCCTGGAACTCGCTCTGTAGATCAGACTACCCTGGAACACACAGAGATCCACCTGTCTCTGCCTCCTCAGTGCTGGGATTAAAGGTGTGCACCACCACCACTGCCCAGCATATCTTTTGTCTTTTTAAAGGAATTTTTATTTTAGGCTGGGTGTGGTGGAGCAAAGACAATACAGAGAAATCCTGTCTTAAAATAAGACATAAATAAATAAACAAACACACTGCTAAGTGCCTGAGCCTCAGTTTCCCTGTTTGGAAAGCCCCCGTGAGTGAAGACTCAGTATGTGTAAAGAAAATAAATGAATGGCAAATGAATGGCAAAGGCTCAGAGACTAAGGCAGGAGGGGCCCGAGTTCAACACCAGTCTGGGTTATATTGTAACACTCAAGCGCACCTCAGGAAAGCTGTTCCACATCAAGGCAAGGGTTTGCCTCGCTCAGGGAGGCCAAGGGTGGGTGCCAGAACGAGGTTCCCTCCAGGAAACAGAGCTCATCCTAGCTACTCAACAGGCCATAGCCTGGGGTGTGGCTGGGGCAATTGGGGGGGGGGGGCTCTACATACTCACCCAAGTGAAAATGGAGAAGAAAGAGAAGGCAATGGCAGCCCGGGCTGCGTCCGTCCCTTCATTCAGGGGTTTGTCCTGGGGCTTGGAGACTTGCCACTGGTTTGCCAGGAAGCAGAAACCCACGAACCAGAAGAAGGCCCAGAAGGCTGGGGTGCCCAGGGCCATGCAGAGAAAGGAGAGAAAACAGGGCATAAAGGAATAGGGGGACAGTTCTAGAGCGTCTCCCGTGCCCTCCAACCCCAGAAGATGAGTAAGGAGGTGAGGCAGAGAGGAGCTGCGAGAAGATGAGGATTGGGAATGACAGTCGGGGTGGGGGGAGACCACGGAGAGGACGGGTCAATGCCGGCCACCTCCCTGCCTTGGCCTGGAAGGTCAGCTGCTCCTGCAAGGAGCAGGATGCAGCGGCCCTGCCCAGACTTCTGGAGAGCTGGGGAGGAGACACTGGGACCAGGGCCTGCACCTGCACTTCCCACAGTGTGCAGCGTCCAGAAGCCCCCAAATGGAGTCCTCCTGAAGCTGGAGTCTGTGGGTACCCAGAGGTCTCCCCAGAGCTGTCCAGGATAGAGCCAGGCATGTACCAGCCTGTCCCGAGAGGAATTCTGGGAACTCCATGGAAACGGGGGGAACAGTCATTTAGTCCTAGTTCTTTCTGGAAGGTCAAAGGGTTCCCATTCCCTTTGGAAACAGGGCCCACAGTCCCAATCATGCCCAAAGTCCCTGGCTGACTCTGGGACTCCCAAGGTGAGAGACTAGCAAAGGAGGCAGCCCTGCCCAGCACCAAGAGAAGGCGGGCTCCAGGATCCCCAGGGAGAGGTGCAGAAGGGCACTGAGACCAGAGCTGACTCGAGTCCTTCCCCTCATCGGTCACGGCCCCTAGTCTGTTGCTTCACTACCTACACTTGAGGGGAATGGAGGAGAGAACTCTGCACATGTTGTTAAAGGGCACCACCCGGGCAGGCTCACCGGAGACACCGATGTCCGACAGCACAGCCTTCTTGCGATCCTTGACACTGCTGATCTGTGGGAAGTACACATCCAGCGCCAGGTAGAGCAGGCAGGTGAGGAAGGCCAGCACGCCCACAGTCACGCCATAGTTGCAGGCATTGGGGTTTCGGTTGTAGATGCAGAACTCCTCCTCCTCCTCCGAGTTGTTGAGGTAGCCCTCATTCACGATGGAGCCGAAGACCACGATGGAGAAAACCTGCAGGGGAGGAACAGGTGTGAGCACAGCCAGGCTCCCCCACCCTGTCAGTAACAGCCTGATTCACTGAGGACGTGAGGCAGGAAGGTATTAAGTTGGAGGCCCAGAAAAGGAGGTCGCCCAGTATAGGCAGCATCAACCACTTCCTAACGCTGCCACAAGGGCTGAAGGGCCTCTAGCTATACATGTAGCCCCACCAACCACCTGACACCAAGGGTCCCCAGGGCTAGCCTGGACCCCAGAGCGAGGAACTTGGGTCCTCCTCAGTCATAAACCCCAGCCCTCCTGGTCAACTACAGTTCCTAGCAGGCACCTGCCCAGCCCTGTATTGTGTCCTCTCTGAACTGCCTAGGGCTGTTCTGGTCTGATGTCTCAGGCCTTGTCCTGGTCCTACCCCCACGTGAATGGAGTGACAAATCAAAAACTCATAGGGGTAGCAATCCTGCGAGATTTATCCCACAAGTCACTTACAGTCTTAGCAAATCCTGATCACTTCAGTTGGATTGGTGGCTAGCTCAGGCCATAGTGACCTTAGTGATCTGCTCCTCACAGACAAAATGTGGTTAAAAAGTGTCTGGGGGGGAGGAGCCAGGTAGTGCTGACCCACGGCTTTAAACCCAACACTTGGGAGGCAGAGGAGGCAGGTGGATCTCTGAGTTTGAGGCCAGTCTGATCTACAGAGCAAGTAAGAGGGCAGCCAGGGCTACACAGAGAAACTCTGTCTTGAACTGTTCTCCCCAAAAGTCTGGGTTCGTGAGGCCCCACCCTGCCCTGAGGAGCTACAGGTGGCTAGTGATTGCTGGGGGAAGGGCATCCATCTTCCTCATAGTGTAGAACCGAACCTCCCTTGCCAAGGAAATAAGCCCCTACCGCGCTCATGCAAGCAACCTTAATGCAAAGACACGGGGCTGGAGAGGTGGCTTGGCAGGTAAGAGCACTACTCTCCCAGATGACCCAGGTTCAGTTTACAGTACCCACTTTGGTGACCCATAACCATCTGTAACTCCAGCTCCAGGAGATCTGGTGCCCTCTTCTGGCTTCTGTGGGCACTGCACTCACGTAGCATACATAGACACAAATGCACACACGTAAATAAAATAGGAATACTCAGAAGTCATGAAGGTAAGAGCATGTTGGGAAGAGTGGGTTTGGCAGAAGGGAGATGAAAGAATGACTGGGAGAAATATGGTCATGGCACATTATACAAGTATAAAATTATGAAAGGATAATCTAAGTGATGAGGGACTGCTTCTGGCTCCCACTTGGCTCACTCTTGGCCTCCTGCCCCTACCTGCTCTACCGGAAGGCAACCGCTATGACAAGGAGCAGAGGGAAGCCTCTAGCTGGCAGCCTGAAGGTAGCTGACGCCCCCCCATCAGCAGCCATTGGAGTGGAGATGGGCTGAAACCCACAGTACCACGCCTGCAAACTTGAAACTGACGTGTCTACAGTAGAGCCACCACAGGAGACCATTGCTTTGGCTGACACCTTGGCGTTAGCCTGTGAAAGACCTGGAGGTAAGGGCTCCCACCTTAGCAGATTCCTGACCCACAGAAAGGGAGATAACCTGTGACTGCTGTTTCAGGCCATAAGTTTGGGGGCAATTTATTATGTGGCAATGGTTAACTAATATACCAGTATCACCAGCAATTTGTAGACGAGGCTATTAAAGGTGCTTAGTGTAAATCTCCAGATACGAAAAGGTGCAGACCACAGCCATATACAGAAGACTGATAAAGCTGCACTCAAGGGTTTCTGTGGGGCTTTTCTGAGAAGAGAAAGAGCAAGCTTGAGACCACTTGAGACATGGAAGGAAGATTATGACCTAAACGTACATTGATGGAAGAATGAAATCCGCAGGGTGGGCTCTGATCCGGCCACAAAAAGTAACAAAGTACTGAAACAGGCAGTGACCCAGACACAGGACTGGGGTGGGTGCAGCAGGCCTGTGCTTTCCTGCTTAGCGTGCGAGAGGTCCTCGGCCTCTGACTTCCGAGTGCTGACATTAAAGGAGTGCGCCACCACCAGCAAGCCTCAGGTCCTGGGTTTTATCTCTGGTGCCAAAAAACAAAACTGAATCTGGACACAAAAGGTCATGTTATGTAACTTCTTTCTTTCTCCTTCCTTCCTTCTGAAGGTCTCACTCCAGCCCTGGCTGGTCCAGAACTCCCTATGTAAACCAGACTGACTTTGAACTCCAAAAGACCTGCCTGTCTCTGCCTCCGAGTGCTGGGATGAAGGGCTTTATGTGATTTCTTTTACCAGCTGTTTTCTTTTTTTGTTTTGTTTTGTTTTTTTCGAGACAGGGTTTCTCTATGGCTTTGGAGGCTGTCATGGAACTAGCTCTTGTAGACCAGGCTGGCCTCGAACTCACAGAGATCCGCCTGCCTCTGCCTCCCAAGTGCTGGGATTAAAGGCCTGCGCCACCAATGCCCGGCTTCAGCTGTTTTCATCAAAGGAAAAAAACAGCAACAGAGCAGAGGGCAGGGAAAGGGAGAATAAGAGTGTGGCCTGGTGGGCACTAGGTAGTGCTCCAGACTCTTTAATCCCAGATCTCTGAGTTTAAAGCCAGCCTGAGTGAGTTCAGGACAGCCAGGGCTACACCGAGAAACCCTGTGCCAAAAAACAAACAAACAACAAAAAGAATGGAGGGCCAGGCTTTAGGTCAGCCACAGGACTACACTGCCCTGCCCGTGAAGGGTTTCCTGGCTCATTCAGAGTCGGCATCCTTACCAGAACCCATGACTCCCAGAAGGTGATTTAGCCTGGCTCCCTATAGAAAAGGAACCTGAGATGCAGAAGACACTCTAGATTCTCTCTCTCTCTGGTTTTTCAAGACAGGGTTTCTCTGTATTGCTTTGGAGGCTGTCCTGGAACTTGCTCTGTAGACCAGGCTGGCTTTGAACTCACAAAGATCCTCCTGCCTCTGCCTCCCAAGTCCTGGGATTAAAGGCATGTGTGCCACCACCACCCAGCTGGCACTCTAATGCCCTAGGCTGACGCCAGCCTCAGGGGGAGGACCTGAAGGAAAGGAGGGCTGGCTGCCCAGGGACCTAGGAGATCAGGTGGTTAAGTATGGACAGGTTAGCAGGCAGTTTGGGTGTAATTTGAACATCAATATGATGGCTGAGCACCAAGACTGAGTCCAGGCTGGTGGTCAGGGGAACAAGAGAAGAGTGGCCTAAGCTAGTGTTTCAAAGACACTATTGGCGGCAGGCTCCAAGGGACAGCTGCCTGGACCACCTGCTATTCAGTCTCTGTGCACCTTCATCTGGATCTGGCAGCTACAACAATCCAAGACTTCTTGCAAGCAAATGGCCAGGTCATGCAGATCCCCAGATGCTACCAAACAGAATATAAAAGGCTCTTGATTAGCCGGTTGTGGTGGTGTATACCTTTAATCTTTAATCCCAGCACTTGGGAGGCAGAGGCAGGTGGATCACTGAGAGTTCGAGACCAGCCTGGTCTACAAGAGCTAGTTTCAGGACAGGCTCCAAAGCTACACAGAGAAACCCTGCCTCGAAAAGCAAAAATCAAACAAACAAAAGGCTCTTAATTAGAGAGATTTCAGAAACAGGGGTCAGACAGGCATGCTCCATTCAAATATGGAACTTGCCATATGCAGCCTTGGACAATGGTCTTCTAGAAAAATTATCTACTGGTAAGAAAGCTCAGTGGATAAAAGCACTCGAAGCACAAGCTTGATGACCTGAGTTCCATCCCTGGGACCCACACAAAAGTGGAAGAAGAGCCAGGCTTTAATCCCAGCACTGCAGAGGCGGGTGGTCTATAGAGTGAGTTCCAGGACAGCTAGGGCTACACGGAGAAACCCTGTCTTGAAAAGCCAAAAAGAGCGGGGACAACTCCGCCAAGTTGGCTTTTGTCTTCCGAGTGTGCACCGTGGCACACTCAAGCATGCACACACATATACATACACAAGATGTGGTTCATTGGCAGGTCAGGAGCTTGCACATCAACCTCTCCTCTTGGGGAGGTTTACACACCAGTACCCAGAGCGGGGCATGCCTCACTGGATAGAGAAAGAGGTCCTCTCAGGTGGCTTCCCTTCCCTGGAGGCTATGGGGTAGAAGGAACGCCAGAGGCCTCTCTTGAGCAACCCTGCCTGAGAGAGAGAAGCACGCTTCCTGTGGCCGGAAAACATGCCACTACAGCAGGAGCCCCACTTGTCACAAGCAAGGAAAATGAGCTCCCCAAAGGCTGGGAGGAGGACCTGGGAAGGGAAGCAAGCAGAAATCTGGGCCCTGGGGAAAGCTGAAGAGGAACCATTAAGACTGGGTCTCTAAGGGGAACCCAAGAGGGGAGTCCTTGGAGAGGCCAGGAAAAAAAGTGTTAAGAGACCTTTGTCCCCAGAAGGGTGAGGAGCAAAATCAAAACAGTCTCAAAAACAGGAATGGGGTGGCCTGTGGCCCTGCAACAGCAGCATGCTCCAACTGTAGTCAGGCACACACCACAGGCTGCAGGCTTCTTGGTGCCTGAAACCTTTCCAAAAGGGACACTGATGGCACTAGGACCTTCCTGTGACCTTGTGGGGTACAACCAGAAAATCCCTGCCTGGCCTTCGGTCTAGCTAGCAACTATAGCTATGCAATTTCACCTCTCTGAACTGAAACTCAGGGAAATAACTACAGCCCAGGGCTCCGGATGCACTCTGAGGAATGAAAGGCCACGCATGCCAGGCCCACGGGGGACCGCCCAAGCGAGCATCAGAAGCATGCTGGACTGATGTATGACAAGGGGGAAGGGATGCTTAGGGTGGCAGCAGGTCCTGGAAGAGGTCAAGAAGATGCGTTAGCGATCAGGGAAGAGCCCTGAAGCTAGGCCCTTTGAGATGGACGAGGAAGAGCCAGCCCTGCATGGATCTGGGCCACATATAATCCGGGCAGAGGAATGAAAGCAGAGAGGCTAGAGGTGGACCGAGGATCCAGTGGGGGAGTGATGAGTGGGGCACGGGCCTGATGGGCTGGGGGGCACTGTCTTTG